CAGTGCTCCAGCCACCTCCCCCCTCAGGGGGATATTCGAGCAGAAGCCCCCAGCAAGACAGGGTTTCCTGAGGGCCCCCACCAACCCATTAATGCCCTCCACTGGTGTTTTCTCCCTTCCCGGTCTCACCACCCCACTCCTCAGAGTGACTCCTGCCAGAGTCCCCCAAATAACCCCCAAACAACTATCTCAAATAACCCCCTCGGATCCAAATTGTTGTCTCAGGGTCAGGTCACGATACATAGCACGAGACAGAGAAAACATGTGTATGGCACTTACATATGAGAATTGCAAGTAGAAATGTTTAATAATCTTTCTCTGGATCTGAGGGGGCTGGCAGGGAACTTGAGAACAGGAGAAGGGGGGCTGAAGGCAGAGAACTCTGGGGGGTAGGTCAAATATTTTGTTTTCTCTTTTTGATGAAGCAACGGTGGTAAAATCAACTCAACAGTTATTCATAAACCACCATGTTAAGGGAAGAGCGTCTTAAACAGATCACTTAAACTGTCCAGGGCACCCAACCAGCCTGCTCATTGAGGCAGAGCATAAGTGCCAGACGGAGATACAGCACCTGTCCTGGTTCCGTCTGTCCTCAGACTCCCATCCTGTCTCCCGGGCACCCATCCCCATTCATGCAGTCGCTCAGCTCCCTAACCACGACGCCAGGGAAAGCGACACTAACAGTGTCCTATTGATAACCCCCACTTGCACTGCCACACCCCACACCCAGCTGCTAGCACCCACCTGTTTCCTGGCCACTGGAGTCCGCTGTGCTGCCTGTAGCACCGGCTAGACACGCCAAACGCCCCAGGATCGGCTCTCAGCCACGACTGGAGTTGGTGGCTGGCGATGCAGCAATCCCCTCAGCTGGGGTAACCTTGAGACATGCACTCTACCCTGCTTCCCAGGGCTTCCTGTAGAGCTGAGCCCCACTGTCCTCCACAGTAACAGACTGAAAACACCTCCTGCAGTGGGCTGACTTCCCTTCTCTGTCTCATTTCCTGCTCCCTAGCCAGTGTTTCCTGGGATCACCTCCCAAGTAAGGTACTTGAACTCTCTCTCATGCTTGCCTGGCTCCTGCTTCTTGGGGAACCCAGCTCAAGGTGAGAGCAGGCAGGTTCCCCTCTTCCCTCTGAGTCTGTAGTCCAGGGAATAATATCTTCTGTCCTCTCAAATGAGGGTGCCTGGGACAAGATAGGTTCACTCAACACTTAAACACAGTAAGAGAACTGTCAACATTCACTTCATGATGACAAAAGTTCAAAGCTCACTAGGGGAACGTCATAGCTATCACTTTTCAAGTGCTTAATACAAGTCAGTTCACCTCCTTTGAACTGGATGACCAGCCAGTGAGGTGGGATTTATTATCCCAATTCACAGATGAAGATACTGAGGTTCAGAGAGTTTTAGGAACTTGCTCAAGGTCACAGAAGAAGTGATGGTGCCAGGATTTAAATCCCATTTGACCCCAAACTCTGTTCTTATACCCCTATGCAAAACTCTTTCCAAATAAAAAAGCATCATCTTTATATCCGGTGTTGGTTGTATATTGAATTGGGGGCAGGGGGGAACTACCTCTTTTTACCTTGGAAACCCCTGTTTAACTTCAACATTCAGCTCAGGTTTCACTTCATCATGGAAGCGCTCTCTGCCCCCTCCCCAGTAAGGCTGGGCTAAATGCTCAGGCCCCCACTGGACCCCATGCGCATGCCTCAAACCCTGCTGTGATTCTCCATTTACTTTGCTGCCTACACTCACCTCCCTGCCCAGCTTGAAATGGCTTCAGGAAAGTTCCCAACCGCATGTGCCCAAAGGCCTGGGGCCCCTCAGGATACCAAGAAGCAAGAGTAATAATAACAACAAAAACAACAACTCAATAAACAAAGAAGTGACTATCGTGAGGATACAATGTCTCCCTACACATCTCTGTCAAAAGAAAAAGAGAGTGTCATTTAGTCAACATGCCCCCTTAGCTTTTCTGGGGCTTGTTTTCCTCCTCTGGTCTCAGTGACCCCCACAGCCTTCCACTTCTGACAAGGGGTGCTTCTAGGGGTGTCCTAGGCCTGCTGGGCATCTCAGGGGAGACAAGGAGTGTAAGATCTCCTTCAGGAACTTATCCTAAAGCTCTTAGACATGGCCCAAATGACAGTATGGGCCCAGGTGCCAAATGGATTCAGACTGGGGGAAGCTAGAAAAAGAAGGAATCAGAGCCATGTCTCTGTCTTCCCCTGTGATGAGAATACCTGTGAATGGTCAGGGATGGGGTGGATACTGGCAGGGGGTGAGGAAATGGGAATAGGAAGAGGGCCAGGCTAGGGTGTGAGATCAACCAAAGTGCCAGGGGGGTAACTTTGGATCAGTACCGCAGGAGGTCACATCAGGGACAGGGGAGCTGGGATATTGATACCTCGGTCAGTCATTAGTTAAAAGCTGCCCTCGGCGTGTAAATTTCCCACTTACTCGCAGTCACAAGGAAGGTTCCAGCATGAGGGAGCCTGGGAAATGTAGTTCTCTACAACCTAGAGCAGAGACCGGTGAAGGAAGAGAAATGAGTCTGTGAGCAAACCAATGAGAGGCGTGCCAGCTGACCTAGGGGACTCAGTCTGAGACTCATAATGCTTGAAATGTTGTTCCCAATTTCTATTTCATGATTTCAAAAAGATAACTCAAAGCTGGCCAATGAATTCTCAGGATTTCCTGAATTTCAAGCCTGGTTATAAGATTCCAACACAAATGTCACCCTCCACAACAGGACAGCTAGCTCGGCCAGGTGGCATGCACCCGGGAACTTCCAGCCCTGGAATTTTCAGTTCTCTGAAGTCTCAAGGCCTGGCTTCTTGCCACTGCAAAGGAGACCAGGACGAGGTGTTTTGTGTGGAGACACAGCTAGAAGTTGTGGCTGATTATTGAAGAAAAACCAGGTTAGACTGCCTTTGTGGTGACAGAAAAGTGGGCCTTGCTAAAGCTTTTCTAAAAATGATTATAAGCAAAGACATGTCTGGGTTTCCCCTAAGATTTTTCGGAATATCAGTCTCCTAGGATGCAAAGCAACCCAGTGTCTACACACGAACAGCATGCTGGGATGAGAAGAGCTGAGGGGGAGAGGTCACTCTGGAGAATGACAGCAGGACACCGGTGAAAGGCAGGGACTCCCGATACATCCACAGGGTCTCTGATCATTCCCCCTGCAGGGATTCCCCCCCCCCCACCTGGTGCCTTCGAGCAAACAGAGACCCCCTTCATTCACCTCCAAATCTTGCTCAACCCGAAACGCCGGGCCAAATGTAGGGCATTTCCCCCACCTCCCGTCAGGCCTCAGAGGTCCCAAAGCTGCCAACTTCTCTGCCACACATCCTCACCCAGTCCCGTTCATTAAGAATTGACCCGTTAAGAGTTGTGTGTCTCCCTCTCTCTCTGCCCCTCCCCCACTCATGTTCTCTCTCCCTCTCTCTCTCTCTCTCAAGAATAAACATTGAAAAAAACAACAACAAGAATTGACCCAGACTCTAAGCACTCCTTCCATCCTCCTCACCATTAAAATATAGTGATCCAGGAGACAGTGACCTGTAAACTCTGTTACTAGGATGTTTCAGTTTCCTGGAGCTGCAGGACCAAAGCCAAAGCAATGATGCGGTAATGGCAAGACCTCAAGCATGTGATGAGCCAATGGGAGAGATCTGGGGGGGGGGTGGAGGAAGCCTCTCTGGAATTATCAGTCACCAGGACCAGGGGTTCTAGGACTGGAAGAGCGTAGGAAGTACAGCTCCTTTTTTTTTTTTTTTTTTTTTAATGTTTTTATTTATTTTTGAGACAGAGAGAGACAGAGCATGAGCAGGGGAGGGGCAGACAGAGAGGGAGACACAGAATCTGAAGCAGGTTCCAGGCTGTGAGCTGTCATCACAGAGCCTGACGGAGATCATGACCTGAGCTGAAGTCGGACGCCTAACCGACTGAGCCACCAAGGTGCCCCCAGCTCCCTTTTTAAGCTCCCACAAGCTCTCTGGACCCAGCACAAATGTCGCCCAGACACATCAAGTTATAGATGCTGAATCAGAAGGCTCTGCAATAGGGAGATATGGGATGGGGACCAGATGTCCAACATCAGTGCCAGCTGGGCAACCAGTAATTAGTGTGAAAATTCCCTTTCCTCAGTTCTTAGTGACTTTTTATTCAGATTAAAATCAAGTCAAGGCCCGATGCAAGAATATCTCTTTATAATCCCAGAGCAAGCAACTCCCTCTAAAGGAATAGCCAGAAAAAAAATGATTATCTTCATGTTCTGCTTGCAAGGCACATGAATGTCTGAGCTCTGAATGCTCCTTCACTGAACAAGCAAAGGGCACAGATAAACTGTACCTTGAACCACAAGCCATGGCTGTGAGAGTCCCTAGACTGGTTTGGGATGGCCCATATCAGTGCCCACACTATTACCAGCAGAGGCAACAACGTAGGGTATTTTCCTCAGCACCATCACCTCCACCCATCCTGATGGAGTCTTCTCGTCCATCATCACCACCTTGGTGAGCTTCACCATCTTCTTCCCCTTTATAATGACCAACATCAACACCAAGTCCAGTTCAGTGTCCTCTCCTCTGGGCAACTTTCCCAGCCATCTTTTCAGACACAATTTGTTGTTCCTTCCTCAGTGACCGCCCCCCCCCCCACCCCAAGATGGCATACTCCTGTGGAGTATGACTTGTGGGTCAGTCTCTCCTATCAGCCTGTGAGCTTTTCAGACACTGAACTGATTTTCAGTCTTTGTTTCTCTAACATCCAGCAAGTGCCTAGAATACACAATAAAAGATTGAGAGGACATTTCAACAATAGGGTGCTTAGTTCTGCTTCCAACTTCCACTTGCCTGGTCTACACAGCTCTAAGTGAACTCATCCCTTCCTCCCTACAGCCCCCCCTACAGCTGCGGGCCTCAGAAGAATCGTTGTGCTCATAGGTCCCCTCTTCTGCGTCTTCCCACCCCCCCCACCCCCGGCAAGTGGCCAGTTCAAGAGTTACTGGAGAAGAAAGGGCAGCCATCGGTGGTATTCGAGAATAAACACCAACAAGACTTGATAGGCATAGAAAATGGCAATGATCTCAAACGAGGCTGCTGCCGCTGACCGACAGGACAGTCCAAAAGAGACCTGAGGACAGGAGGGAGGGAGGGATGAATTCAGTGAAGGACAAGATGTCTATAGGAGGTCAGCAGTGTTTAGCGGGAGATTCTGGAAGATCAATGGAAATACAGGACACAAACCTACGGGAAGTGGTGTACCTGAAGCTGGGCATGGAGAATTTGGAGTTCCCCCACGCTGAGGTGAAAACTAAGGGCGTACAAGATCATCCATCCGAGAGGCCCAAGGACAAGACAGGGTAAAGAGCAAAGAAGAACAATCAGCCCAAGGCTGGGCTTTGGACGCACTATCATGTATTGAGGGCAGGCCATGGGGTGAGGACTCCGGGAATAAGTTGGCCTAACAGGGCCATATTTGAGCCTGAAGCAAAAGGGAAAATCAGCCATGCGGATCCTGCCTTTATTTAACATTTTAATATTCTATTCATCGTGGATTTTTGGATTTCCATTCTTTTAATATTTCATGAAAATGTTATCTTGAGAGATAGGATCGAATGGAGCCGTCCAGCAATGTCCTCCTCAAGGAAAAAAAAAGAGACCTGTGGCAGCTGAGTCCCGTGGCCAGAGCCCAAGCACTGGATTCCACCGGCCAGGATCAAATCCTGGCTCTGACATCTCTTAGGTGCATGATCTCAGGCAAGGCACTTCTCTTCCCTATACTTGGCATCCTCACCTGAAAAAGAAAACCTTCCTCGTGAGGCTATCACAGTGCCTGCCTTACATAGTGATCCCTGAAGAGTTGTCTGCACCCCCGGTCCTTAAGGTGCTAAGGAGGGAAATGAATAGGCTGGACAATGGAGGAGATGCTAGGAGTGATGAGTCCAGGGAGGACAAAGAGGCAGTGCAGCCTGGAAACCAGGCGCCTTCTTCTCCACATCTGACAGATGGACAGAGCCAGACAGAACTGGAACACTGCATCCACTGTCCGCATTTTATATGTTGCATTACACTCTATTTTTTAATATCTGTGACTTCCTTCCATTTGTGTGGGGGATGGAGAATGAAAACCTTCCCACAAGGCAGGAAAGGCCCAGTGCTTAGAGCAAGCTGGAGCCTGGCCGCTATCTGACCCAGTCCGTTCTCCCTCCCCTGTCCTCCGGAAGCATTGTCACAGACCCTTTGATCAGTGCCCTCACGGTGACAATGCACAGCCGCTGTGTGGCTCCCGGAGGACTGGGGACAGTCTGGGGTGGGGAGGGGGCTCTGCCATAATTTCCTTCCCAAACCTTTTTTTTTTTTTCTTTTTTTTTTTTTTTTTCAGAAGCCTGTAACTCCCCAGCATGTTTTTCCCTGGTGGAAAATGTCCATGTTTGGTGTCTGCCCAAAGGAGAATCTCTATGGAAAGTTTGAGAAAGATTCCCTCTGGCTGGGAATGTGAAAAAAAGCCCGTGCCTTTCCCATTTGGAAAAAAAAAGGAAAGAACATACTTGAGACGTGGTTATTTTTGTCTCAGATTCAGAAGGAACTGACTTGGACAGTGCTCACTTGGCCTGCATTCCCATCGCTTTGTTGGTAAAGGCAGATAAACTAAGCCACACGGAGGTGATGCCGACCCCCAAATGCTCATGTCTCCTCTCAAGAATCTTTTTTGTTTTGCCCTTTTATTAGATACAGCCCACAAATAACAAAGTGTGCAACTCTTAGGAATCTTACGTCTACAGCTTGATGAATTCTTACATGGGCGTATAACCATATAACCACCGCCCAGATCAAGATATATAAAACATTTCATGGGGCGCCTGGGTGGTTCAGTGAGTTAAGCATCTGACTCTTGATTTCAGCTCAGGTCACGATCTCATAGCTGTGAGATTGAGCCCCGCGTTGGGCTCTGCACTGAGCCTGGAGCCTGCTTGGGGTTCTCTCTGTCCCTCTCTCTCTGCCTCTCTCTCTCTCTCTCGTTCTCGCTCTCAAAATAAATAAATAAACATTGTTTTGAAAGCTATAAAACATTTCCAGTACCCCAGAAGTCAGCCACTTCCTTCCAGCCACTTCCCAGTCAACATTCTCACTCTAAAGCTAAGCAGTTAGTTTCGCTTATTCTTAAATTCCATGGAAATGGAATCATCCAGTATGTATGCTTGACTTGTCATTTCATTCACTCAACATAATGTCTATGAGATTCATTCATGCAATCACATATCATATCAGTCTGCTAGGGCAGCCGTGACGAAATACCACAGACTCAAGGGCTTAAACAACAGAAATGTATTTTCTCACAGTTCTGGAGGCTGGAAGTCCAAGATCAAGGTGAAGCTTCTCTCCTTGGCTTGTAGACCGCGTCTTCTCCCTATGTCTTCACGCGGTCTTCCCTCTGTGCGTGTCTGTGTCCCAATTTCCTCTTCTTACAAGGACACCAGTCATATAGGTTTAGGGGCTATCCTGATGAGCTCATTTTACCTTAATTGCCTCTTTAAAGACCCAATCTCCAAAGACAGTCACATGACATACCAGGGTATAGGACTTCAACGTACAAATTTGGGGAGGGGAACACAGGTCAACCCATAATACATATTATACTGAATGTTTGGGGAGTTTCTTCTATTGCTGAATTAGATCCCACTGTGTGATTCTACCACAACTTATTTATTCATTCTTTTATATCAATAGATACTGGAATTATTTCCTGCTGGGGACTATTGCAAACACTGCTGCCATCGACATCTCTAGTACATGTCTTTTAATGAACATAGGCACTCATGTCTGGTGCATACGTACCCGGGCGTTCAGTTGCTGCGTCATAAAGTATGGGTGTGAGTAGCTTCAGCAGACACTGCCAGACGGTTTTCCAGCGTGGTTATAAAAGGCTTCACAAATTTAAGAAACAAAACAGATGAACATAGGGGAAAGGAAGCAAAAATAGGATGAAAGCGAGGGAGGCAAACCTTAAAAGACTCTTAAGTGCAGAGACTAAACAGCGCTGCTAGATGGGGTGTTGGGTGGGTGGGGGGATGGGCTACATGGGTGACGGGCATTAAGGAGGGCACTTGCTGGGATGAGCACTGGGTGTTATATTTAAGTGTTGAATCACTAGATTCTACTCCTGAAATCATTATTGCACTGTATGTTAACCCATTTGGATTTAAATTTGAAAAAATAGAAATAAAGGGGCGCCTGAGTGGCTCAGCTGGTCGGGCATCTGACTTCAGCTCAGGTCATGATCTCGCAGTTTGTGAGTTCAAGCCCCGCCTCGGGCTCTGTGCTGACAGCTCTGAGCCTGGAGCCGGCTTCGGATTCTGTGTCTCCCTCTCCCTCCACCCTTCCCCCACTCACACTCTGCCTCTCTCTTTCTTAAAAATAAACACACATTAAAAAAATTGGAATACAAATAAAATATAAATAAATAAAATGAAAAGACTACATATTGTATGATTTCATGTATATGAAATGTCCAGAATAGACAAATACACAAGGCAAATTAATGGTTGTGGTAGCTTACCTAGGGCTGAGGGCAGGGGCTGGAGAGTGACTGATAATAGGTGCGGGGTTTCTTTTCGGAGTGATGAAAACATCCTAAAATTAGATGGTGATAGTTGCATAACTCTGTGAATGTACCAAATAAAAACTTCTCTTGTGTGCTTTAAGTTGTATAACATGTGAATAACATCTCAATAAAACTTGAGATGCAAAAAAAAAGAAAAAAAGCTCCACACCTTTGCCAACGCCGGTATTAACACACCCTTTTATTTTAGCCTCTCAGAGAATCTTAAAAATCAACTTTCAAAGCAAGTTCAGCTGCAAAATCTATGCTCCTGGGAATCAGGGAGTGCATTTGCCCTACATATGTGTGGATAACCCCGATTTCTCTTGTGCCTAGAGCTCTGGTCTCCTGCCTCCACCCGACTCCTGCTCAGGAGTCTTGGGAGTTTTAGTGGGATGTGTCCCCAGTTGGGACTGGCACAGCACAAGATCTGGGGGAAGCCTAAGGCCAGTGAGTAACTGACTGAGGGAGAAGGAGAAGGAGACGAAAGCAACGAGCAAAATGCAATTTAAAGAGTCGTTTCTGGCCACCTGGGGAACGAAGGCTGTGTTTGCACCACAGAGAGAGCTTCAAAGAGCCCCTGCAAGACCGTCTGTTTCCTCACTGACAGTTGCAGCCAGCCTTTCGTGAAAAGGAAATCCTCAGAATCCCTCACATCCGGGAGCACGAGGAGGCTTCTCCGAGAACACCCTTCAAAACAATGGTCACCCTGAAGGTGCTGGATTCAGGACGGACCTTCCATCCACCTCCCCCAACCCCCCCTGCCTATTCCCTCCCCTACCTTGCCTGCCCTAGTGCTGGAAACTGCCACAGAGCAGCAGTCCCCTACATTACAGCATTTGCTTTCCTGGTGTCTTCAAACCTCCCAAGACCGTCCAGTCAGAGAAAGACAAATAACCATATGATTTCACTCATATGTGGAACTTAAGAAAAAATAAATAAATGAGCAAAGGGGAAAGAGAGAGAGAGAGAGAGAGAGAGAGAGAGAGAGAGAGAGAAATCAAGAGAGAGACTCTTAACTGGAGAGAACCAACTGCTGGTTACCAGAAGAGAGGTGGCAGGGGGGTGGCAGGGTGGGTAAAACAGGTGATGGGGACTGGGTGACGCACTGGGTGATGCACTGGGTGACGTATGGAAGTGTCGAATCTCTATATCATATGTTTGAAACTCATATAACACGGTATGTTAACTAACTGGAATTAAAGTAAAAACTTATTTAAAGAAACACACACTCTGAAGACCACCTAGAACTGAAGGGAACAGGAAGATAACCATGTCTTGTCCCAACATGCGAGCCTGGACCCTCAGAACGGGCAGGAAAAACATAAAGCGAATCCTTATCTTACTCCTTGGACCAAAATAAAATCCAGTCGAAGCAAATATTTAAGTGTAGAAAAGAAACCATGAAAGTATTCGGAGGCAAGAAATTAGTAAATGTGCTTATAATCCTGGACTGCAAAGTCCTTTCTAAATAAGATAAAAACCCAGAAACCATTAAGGAAATGATTGCTACCTACAACCACATAAAACTTAAAATTGTTTGAGGGATGAAAAATACCATCCAGAAAGGCAAACGATAAACAGCAGGTGGAGGGTGAAACTTGCAACCCATCTGTCAAAGGCTAATTTTCTGAAATCACACACACAAAAAACTTTTTTGTATTCATTAGAAAGGGCCTAACAATCCCACAGGGGGAAAAAAAAAAAAAATGGAGGAAAGGATGAAAACAGGAGGTCACAAAAGAAGAAATCCAGATGTCCAATATACATAAGAAAAAAACGCTCCACCTTAATCATAAATAAGTAAATGCAAGTTGAAACTGTAAGATACCTTTTCAAAACTGATCGTACTGTCAGGATTACAAACAGGTAACAGCAGCCATTTAGTGAGAGTTTGGGGAAACAGGCATGTGTGTGCACTATTCGTGGGCACGTGCACTGACGGAGCCTTTCTGCAGGACGACCATTCTCTACCTATTTGATCTGTTATTGTCACGTTCTTTTGCAAGATGGCTGCCTCTGCTCTAGGTACCATCCACATTTGAGGCCAGAAGAAGATAGAAGATTTAATGCTAGGGAATGCGCCTCTCCTGCCTGTCTCTTACACTCATTGGCCAGAACTGTGTCACATGAGACCGCTCCACCATCCAGTTACAAGAGTTTCTGGGAAAGTGAGTATCTAGCTAAAAAGAAACATATTACCACGATTGCCTTAGCCGACCATGATTTGCCTTTAGAGGCTGAGCACCTTACCACCCTACATAAACTCCTCAACAGGGATTATCTGGGTGATAATATTTTATTATAACAATCAATTATTTTAATTCCAATTATAAAAGTGCTTTCAATGAATGGGTAAATAAATCATCAAACAAGCTAGAGATATGGCCATCTTGCTGGCTTTATTGAGAGCCAAGGATAGATGGTAATACATATTTTGGTGACTTCAGGTGGGGCAGTTTAGAGGATCTGCCATGGCAGAAGATGGAATAGTAATTCTCTCACAGGCACTGGGTCTGCTTTAAGCTCCCAGACCACTCCCAAAAAGCCACTGATGGAACCCAGAATGTAGCCATGTCTTGATCGTTTTGGACTCTCTCATCATTCAGGAAACTGGGGACTCCCCCCGGGACTCAGGGAAGTTGCTTTGTCTAAGGTGCTGACAGACAGGTGGGTTCTACTTAGCCCAAGTATCACTAGCGTCCCTGCCAGAGAAAAGAGTAATTCCACAAAATGCCCTGAATCCTAGCAGGATCTGCGTTCCTGCAAGGCTCTCCCGTTTTCTGCCAGATGGCTCTTCACCTTAGTCAGGTTCAGTCCCCCCACTAGTTAAATGGGTCAAGGGGATCCATCATCTCTAAGACCCTTTCCAGGTCTGTAGGGCAGCAGTTCTAAATAAATACTCTCCCTGCACCAGAGCCTCTATGGGGTTCACTATGGGAGATCCTGGAGGTCCAACCCACTGGGACTCAAACCCTAGCTCCTCCCATACAAGCTCTAGAAGCCTTAAGCAAGTTATTGAACCCCTCTGAATTCATTTACTCATCTCAATAAAAAAAGAAAGAAGAAAGAAAGAAAGAAAGAAAGAAAGAAAGAAAGAAAGAAAGAAAGAAAGA